CACTGTAAAAACTTTTGCTTGCCTCTTTTATGGGAGATAATTCACTTCATTACACCTCTCCCTTTCTCCTTCTTACAGTACATTCCTCTCTCACTTCTTAATTTTATTTTTAGATATCATTCTTTCATATTTAACTGACCCTGTGAGCTCTCTCTCTCTCTCTCTCTCTCTCTCTCTCTCTCTCTCTCTCTCTCTCTTTCTCTCTCTCTCTGTATATATATATATGTATATATATATATATAAATGTACATATATATATATATATATATATATTCAACTTTAATAAGTCCCTTATGATTTCTCTTCCCTCTTTACCTTTTCATGCTTCTCTTTAGTCAAGTATTTGAAAGTCAAATTTTCTATTCAGCTCTGGTCTTTTCATGAAGAATACTTGAAAGTCCTCTATTTCATTGAATATCTATTTTCCCCCCTGATTATACGAAGGATCATACTAAGTTTTGCTGGGTAGGTGATTTTTGGTTTTAATCCTAGCTCCTATGACCTCTGGAATAGCATATTGCAAGCCCTCCAGTCATATGTTGTAGAAGCTGCTAAATCTTGTGTTATCCTGATTGTGTTTCCACAATACTTGAATTGTTTCTTTCTTGCTGCTTGCAATATTTTCTCCTTGACCTGGGAACTCTGGAATTTGGTATAATATTCCTAGGAATTTTTCTTTTGGGATTTCTTTCAGGAGGTGATTGATGGATTCTTTCAATGTCTATTTTACCCTCTGTTTCGAGAATATCAGGGTAGTTTTCCTTAATAATTTCTTGAAAGATGATGTCTAGGCTCTTTTTGTGATCATGGGTTTCAGGTAGTCCAACAATTTTCAATTATCTCTCCTGGATCTATTTTCCAGGTCACTTGTATTTCCAATGAGATTTTTCATATTATCTTCCTTTTTTTTTTCTTTCATTCTTTTGGTTTTGTCTTATAATTTCTTGATTTCTCATGGAGTCATTAGCTTCCATTTGCTCCTAATTTTTAAGAAATTATTTTCTTCAGTGAGCTTTTGGACCTCTTTTTCCAATTGGCCAATTCTGCTTTTTAAGGCATTCTTCTCTTCATTAGCTTTTTGGACCTCTTTTGTCATTTGGCTTAGTCTATTTTTTAAGGTGTTATTTTCTTCAGTATTTTTGGGGTCTCTTTTAACAAGGTATTGACTCATTTTTCATGATTTTCTTGCATCATTCTAACTTTTTTTTCCAAATTTTTCCTTTACTTCTCTTATTTGCTTTTCAAAATCTTTTTGAGCTCATCCATGGCCTGAGATCAATTCATAGTTTTTCTTGGAGGCTTTGGATGTAGGAGCTCTGACTTTGTTGTCTTCTGATTGTATGTTTGATCTTCTTTGTCACCAAAGTAAGATTCTATAGTCTGACATTTTTTCCACTGTTTGCTCACGCTCCCAGTGAATTACTTCATTTTTAAACTCTTTGTTAAGGAAAGTCTCTGCTTCCAGTGTGGAGGGTGTATTGTCCCAAGCTTTAGGGGTTTTGTGCAGCTGTTTTCAGAGATACTTCTAAGGACCTATAAATTTTCTGTTCTTCCAAAGTGGCATGTTCAAAGGAGATTTGTTTTCTCCTTTCCTGGCCTGTGCTCTGGTCTATGACTGACCACAAGCACTCTTTTCTGCCTTGGAACTGTGAGGAGGGTTCACTCTGCACTGCTGTCACAAGCTCCTCCACACCAGTGCTCCTCCTTGCACCAGGACTGCCACTCAGGACTGTGACCCAGATCCAAGCACAGGCAAAGCAAGAGAATCCTGCCTCAATGCTAGCAAAGAGATCCATGCAATTTCCCTCTGATCAGCCACTCCATCCCCCACAGAGTTGGTGCCAAACCACGCTCATCTCTCACCCAGGTTCAACAGACCTTTCCTACTGACCTTCTGAGTTGTCTTTGGTGTTTGTGGGTTGAAAAGTCTGGAAAATGGTACAGCTGCCAGTGATTCAGTCTCCTGAGGCCTGCTCCAGGTTTGTCGGGCCTGCCTTTTCCTGCACAGCCCATTCTGAGCTATGCTCTTCTCCTAGCCAGGCACAACAGACCTTTCCCATCAACCATCCAGGTTGTCTTGGGCTGGTAATTTGTTTCACTTTGTCTTTTTGTGGGTTTTGCTACTTTAGAATTTGTTTAGAATGATTCTTTATAGGTATTTGGAGGGGTTTGGGGGAGAGCTCAAGCAAGTCACTGCTTTTACTCTACCATCTTGGCTCTGCCTCCCATTCCTACTTTTTTAGTGATGATAGAAGATTGGTATTAATGTGGGCAAAAGATACAAATAATCACAGTTGACTATGAAACATAAAACAGAGATGTATATGTCCATCAAAGGTAATTTGGCTGGATATGATGGCACCCAACTGTAGTCCTTGTTGATGAATAGGCTGAGGCTGGTGGAATCACTTGAGCTCAGGGGTTCTGAGCTTCTCAGGATAAGCTGATCATGCGTCTTCACTATTTGACATTCATATGTTGAGTTGTGGGACCACCAGGCTGCTTAAAGAGGGGTGAGCCATCCCAGGTCGAAAATGGAGTTCAAAGTTTTCACACCAGTCATTAATAAAATCAAGCCCATGAGTACTCCCTAACCTTCCAGCCTGGTTGAGATGGGGGAAGTCAGTCTTTAAAAGTAAAAATAATAGTAATAATAATATAATTTACTTCTGTTCTGGAGGATGACTAGAGTCTAAATGGAAGAATGAATCCCTGTAGATGGTGAGGCCTTCTTGATGTTCTCATTTGCAGGTGATATTATTTTGATTGCATCAAAACCTGGAAACTAGTAGAGCCTCTAAATGAAATCCACAATTATCCAGCCCATCATTGGAGGAAAAAAAGTGGGTGAAGAACTCCTGTTGTTCAAATTATGGTGTTCATTTGGATGGACAACTCATAGAGCTGGTTATGCTCTATGATTGTATTCAGATACAGATTGACAATGAAGTGAGCCCATATTTGAAGAGGAGAAGGAAAGAGGAATGAATTATCTTTGGGAAACTGCACATTGCTTTTAATGATCTCAAGCACCTCCCTGAAACAAAGACACATCACAGGAGAAGTGGAGTAAAGGATATCATCAGAGAAGTGTATGACTGCCAAAGGAGGTATTTTGGTTATGATTCAAGATTGAGGGATAATTGAAGGCTAGCTCATATATTCCATTGGTATGCACGCAACGTCAAGAGATCTAAACAACGTCCCATTCCAGAATGTTGGGTGAACCTCCTATCTATAATTTATGGAATGACATGGCTAAAAGTCATACAGGTTTATCAGGTATTCATTTCGATTGATGTGTTGTGGTCTGCACCATTGAAAGAAGTAGCCACATTGGTGCGATCACAGATTCCTTGAGGTAAACATGGATTAATATAGACAGATGGATGTAGAGATAAAAAAGATATATATGTATATGAATGTATATGTGTGTGTGTGTGCACGTGTATGTGTGTAAAGATAGATAGACAGATAGATAGATAGATAGATAGATAGATAGATATACATGTCTTTTTAAAAATACACCAGACACATACCCACATGTACATAGACACACTTATTTGTCCAGTTTTCTTATGCTTAACTGCCTTCCATGAATCCTATGATCCAATGTCATTGGTTTCCTTGCTGCTCCTCACAACATTTTTACTGACTGTCACTGATATCTGGAATCTCTACTTTTCACATCTCTACCTCCTAGCTTCCCCAAATTCCTTCAGGTCCTAGTTAAAATCCTACCTTCTAGAACAAGCCTTTCCTCATACCCCATAATGCTATTTCCTTCTCTCTGTTGATTATTTCAAATTTTTCTTCTTATTCGAATTTGTCAGAATTGTCATATGCTTTGTTTGTACATAATTGTTAGCATGTTGTTTCTCCTTTTAGACTGTGAGTTCCTTGAGAGTGGGGACTGTTTTTGCCTTTCTCTGTATACCCCATACTTATCACAGTGTCTAGAACTTAGTAGGTGCTTTATAAATGCTTGTTGACAAAATATGCAATTTGGATAGCTGGGAAGTACAGGCAACAATTTCTTGAATTGTGATTCTATTATATAATCAATAACATTTTATATGAAGGATTACCATGGATTAGCTTAAGTAAGAAATTGTACTTAGGTCATGAATGTTGGCAAATGATAGTCTTGGCTGAGATTAGGTTCCTACTACAGTGGAAAGAAGGCTGGACTTGAAACCAGAAGAGCTGGGTTTGAAACTTATCACAGGTACTTATTGGCTGGTGACTCTGGGCAAATCATTTGACTTTTTGAAGCCTCAGTTTCCATCTCCATGAAATGGAAATAATAGCACTTTCATCAAAGCCTAGACATGACTGTAACATATATATTTGTGGTTGCAGCAAGATTGCTGGTCCCCACTGATAGCCTACATTTCTTTCTCTTCTTGGGGGATTGGGGATGGTGGATCTCAACCCATGTCTGGTGCTCTGTCTGTAGTTATTATATAGATTCCTGGGTCTCACCAAAGGAGACGGGTTGCTTGACTTTAGTAACCCAGACTTCTATCCCAGTTGTATTTATATGAAGGGGAAAGGGTAGAGAAGAATCAGCCCTAGGGTAGTACTATTAGCCTGGAGCATATAAGTTTCTGGGGATGCTGAGACCTGTCAGAAAAGATTGTTTTCTATGGATTTAGGCCTGAGTTCTTTCTCTATTCCTTATTATATACAATAAATTTGTACCATGTTCTTTGTTCTATGTCGGGGCAGCTAGGTGGTGCACTGCCTAGAGCACTGGGCTTGGAACCAGAAAGACTCATCTTCCTGAGTTCAAATCCAGCTTCAGATACTTACTAGCAAGTCACTTAATCCTGTTTGCCTCAGTTTCCTCAACTGTAAAATGAGTTGGAGAAGAAAATGCCAAATTGCTCCTGTATCTCTGCAAGAAAACCTCAAATGAGTTTACAGAGAGTCAGACATAACAGAAAAATGACTTAACGACAACAATATGTTAAATGTCTGGTTAGTGTGGTACTTACAAAGGAATTGCAGATCCTCATATGAGTGTAAAATTAGCCAAATTCTGATATCACTAGGGGAATCCTTAGGTGGGGGAATGATCCAAAGAGATAATTATGCTAAACTTCCAAGATTAAGCTAGTCTATGCGAGTCCAAAGTTCTGGAATGAACTGAAGATAAAATAGCATTAAATATAATTCCTTTTGTAAACATGAAGAGCTATATTAACCCAAACTTCTATTTTTTAAAGATGTGAACACAGTCTAAATAATGAATGTTATGTAATTTATGCTTAGGATACCATCTCAGTATTTTTTTCTTAGAATTGATTATAGTTACATATTGTTATCTTGAACAACCAACATCTTATTTCTGTCTTTAATCATTTCATTCTTTTTCTGTTCCTAATTTTACCAAAAGTATATCTGATTCTTGGTCCCTGAAACACTATTCAGTCCTTTTTGGTTTTTTACTGTGCCCCCTATATATAAAAAAATCCCATTAGTCCCCCATGCTCTTTCAACCTCATCCCTCCTTTCCTAACTCAACTATTATTGCGTTATTTGGTAAAACCGAGTACAGTATCAAATTCCCAACTATGGTATCCCAGCTCATGAGGTTAATATCAACATAGAATAATTATGCCATTGCTGGAATTGCCCACAAGCCCCCAGAGTTCCAAGGTAAGGTAATCAACATTCTTGTGTGTTTGTGTGTGTGTGTTTGCGTGTGTGTATTTTCCCAAAGAACCACAAATACTGTAAACTTGATGAGAATTGATTCAGATTACCCAGACTCATACTGCAGTCCAAATTCATTTGCTTTCATATACAATTAGATGCTCAAATTTGTGCAGAATTCTCTTTATGGAAAACTGTTTTCTACATAGTATAATTTTCGATAGTTCTCAAAAGGACAGTGAAATCTGATCAGCACGTCACCTGCATTTATTTTCCTTTCCCAGGACATTTTGAAAGGGTGTTTTGCACACCCTTTTTTAATGTTAATCTTCAAAATTCTTCTGGGGGATATAATCCTGAAGTCAGCTTAAGTGCAACTAATACTGAGTTTTCATTTTTCACAAGCAAACAAAAACAACCAAAAAATAAAAGATAATTGACCAGACTAAATACTTCTCTGCAAATCTGTATGTGAAACATTTTTGAGATGTTTTTACTTGTAGTCATACCAAGGATTGTAGTATTGCTGATTCCATGTTGTGAACTGTTTTCCACAAATTATACAATTGCCTGAGCTGAGACTTGGGATAGATCCTTGTTTTATTTACCTATAACCCCCAAAGAAGCTTGTTATGTTATTTCTATATAATGTTATCAAATAGAGTACCTGAGACAGAAAGAGAACTATTCCTTCATATCAAGGTACAAAGCCCTTATAAGCATCTGTTTCAACTACCTAATCAATAAACATTTCTAAATTGCCTATTATGTGCCAGGTACTTTGTTAAAGATAAAAAGGAAACAATCTGAACCCTCAAGTTGCTCACATTCTACCAGAGGAAACAACATGTACATATGTAAGTATATATGTTATAGTAGGGATAAAATCTGTGGCTTCATTGACGTTGGGATCTCCTGAATGAAGAAACTCCCTGTCAATGGCCATCACCTTCTCTACAATTCATAATCTGAATGAATTGTCTAGACTGAGAGGTTAAATGATTTGACCAGGGTTACACAGCCACCTAGGTTTTCTGGCTTCAAGGTCAGTTCTTGCTGTACACAATATCACTTCTTAGTCATATCATGCTGACACCAGAAAACCTCAGGGTTGGCAATGGAACCAAAGGGCGCCTGGTCCAGTTCCTAGTTGGACACTAATCTCTTGATGCTGTCCTATGATCCTAAGTGGTAGTGCAAACTCTACTTAAAATCCTCTAGTAATGTTTTCTACATCCCAAAGCCCCTCATTCCATTTTTGGACAACTTTGATGGTTAGGAGGACTTTCCTTTCCTTTAGCCCGAACTGCCTTCCCTGAAACTTCTAACCTCTGCTCTTTTTGTTCCTTGTGGCCAAGCAGAACAAATTTTACCTCTCTTTGTTAATAAAAATAAACTTTGTTTTTAATCCAACCCATTCATTCCAACCAGCATTTAATAAATAGTTGTTATGTACTAGAGGCAGCATGTCATAGTGGATAGAGATCAGGTTTGGGGACCAGGAAGACCTGGGATCATCAAGTCCTGCCTCTGACACATATTGGCCATATGACGCTGATCAAATAATTTAATTCCTCAATGCTCTAAGACTATAAGTTGCAGAGAAGGTTCCCATTTGCTTTAGTAAAGAGAGTTTCCTCATCTGCAAGATCCATATACTAATGTAGTCATAGGACCAGTCCTTGTCCCTATTATGTACTAGGCCCTGGGGAGACAAACTTCAAAAGTGAGGTGGTATGCAGAGGTTAATAGAAGGATGACAGTTCCTTCAACAAAAAGAAAACAAAAATGAAAGAGAAGTGGGCTGGGGGAAGACCCTTGATATTTTAGCAATATTACATGTGTATTTGATATTGCTTCATTATCTTTAAAATTAAATTTTATTTTTAGACCTACATTCTATCTCTCCCCTCTATCCGTCCACCTCCCTCACAAATATATATAATCAAACAAAGCAAAGTTTGGCATGGACTATGTCCCCAAAAAGTCTCAAACTAAACTCTGAATCCATCACCTCTCTATCAGAAGGAAGGTACCATGTTTCATCTCAAGTCCTCTGTATTTGATCATTGTGTTGATCAGAGTTTCTTAGTTTTTCAAAGGATCTCTGGGATAGCTCAATCTGTATACCTGCTAGCTGTCAGCACTCCCGAAGTGATTTAATCTGTGGGAAGTCTGATCATTGCCCTTCTGGTCTGAGTTTAGCAAGTTCCTGACCCAGGTTTAGGTCTGAACAATAATACTACGGTCCTGTCTCTGTTTGGCAATATCAGTCAGCTGCAGGGTCAGAGCAACTGAACTACAGGCTCTTCTTTGGTCTGGAATTCTACCCTAGTTATTCTACCACAGGCTTCAGACTGGGCTAAAGGCTGGAGTTGAGACCCTGCTTGGTTCCTGGAGTCACAGCCGCACAGCTACTGTTTGTTTCTGAACTTGTTTCTTGCTTAGTACACAACCTAGGGCCCTTTACTATTCTCTACCTGAGATTGGCACTCTAGGGCATGGGTATTCTCTGCAGTTCACCAGGAATCTGAGAGCCAGTATATGGGTAATAACTGACAGAGATACAGGTTTGCATCTGTTCTTGCTCCTATCACCAGGTTTTGGTGACTAGGTATGGGTCTATGACATTGCCTTACCCTTGGGCAAAATCAGTCCTTTTTCTGTCTCTGGGCACTGTGGACTCCTGGCCAGTTGCTATCCTACCAACTCTTTGTCTTCCTATGTCAACCTGGACTGGAAAAAAGTGACTCACTGTGTTTTTTTTCTCTGTATTTTCCAGTTAGGACTTGGTCTGATGAGTTTTCTATATTTTTGTGGAGGAGGAGCTGGGCTATATTTCTTCCTGCTACTCCACCATCTTGTCTTTACTGACCATATTCCTTCATTATAAAACATATGTGAGATGTTGAAAGGTTGACTAGCTCTTCCAAAATATTAATTCTTATTCTTCTAAAGAATCATAGAACTAGAGGCATTTAGGTGGTGCAGTGGATAGAGCAGCGGCCCTAGAGTCAGGAGGATCTGAGTTCACATCTGGCCTCAGACACTTGACACTAGTTGTGTAACCCTGAGCAAGGCACTTAACCCTGATTGCCTCACCAAAAAAAAAAAAAAAAAGAATCGTAGAACTGTTTCTATGTACCTATTTTTTTAGAAGGACTACTAAGAAGGAGGAACTTCAGGATTCATAAAGGAAATAAGAATATAGGAAAAGCATTGTAGGCATTTTGTTTTTATATTATCTTAATTTCCTAATATATTCTTCCCCTTTGCCCCACTCAGAGAGCCATCCCTTATAACAAAGAATTGTTGGTTGCAATTTAGCCAAACTAATCAACATATTAGGTCTGACAGTTAAGTCAGGACTCTGCCACCATTGCCCCTCTTCTCGCAAACAAGAGGAAGAAGAACATTTGAATATCCCTTTCTTAAACTCAAGCCCAGTTATATCACACCATATACAGTCTCAGTTTTCTTGCTGTTGCACTTTCCATTTACATTGTCATAGGCACTGTGTATATTGTTTTCCTGGTGCTGTTTTACTTCTCTTTGTATCAGTTCATATGTCTTCCTAGGATTTTTTCTGCATTAATCATATTTATCGTTTCTTATGTGCAGTAATATTCCATTATATTTATGTACCATTTTGTTTTGCTATCAGCCAACCTAGTGGACATTTACTTTTTTTTCCAATTCTTTGCTATCACAATAAGTGCTGCTATCAATATACTGGCATCTCTTTTTTTAAACTTTGATGTCCTTGGCATATATGCCTAACAGCAACATCCCTTAAAACCTGACAGGGAGGTCAGTAATTCCATTATTCTCATTTTAGCTTGCTTGACATAAGGCTATCAAGTTGAAAAGCTAAAACTTGAACCCAGTACTTTAGCTGCTAAGCTCAACCCTCTTTCTGCCTCTCAAAATCAGAGGTCACCTTAATCTGAAAAGGGCTTTCTCCCTCTTTCAAAGTATGTTTGGTGACTTTGTGACCCTCCCTTAGTTTCCTTCAACACTCAGCTCAAAAGTTACTAATATTCTCTTAGTTGTGAAATCTAATGGGCATTTCTCAATCCTCCTTCTCCTTGACCTTTCTGCAGTCTCTGATACTGTTGATTGCTCTCTCTTGATAATTCTCTTCTCTCTGAGTTATCAGGACACCACTCTGTCCTGATTCTTCTGTCTACCTGGGCATTCCTTCTCAGTCTCCTTTGCTGGATTATTAATTAATGGATTGAGCTCAAATGGCACTTCATGCAGGCCTTTCCCAATCCCCTCTACTTTTCCCAGTGCTAGTGCCTTCTCTCTAAGATTAATGTCCATCCACCATGTATGTGGGCAGCTAGGTGGCACAGTAGACAAAGAGCCAGGCCTGCAGTCAGGAATACCTGAGTTCAAATCTGGCCTCAGACACTTACTAGCTGTGTGACTCTGGACAAGTCACTTGACCCTCTTTGCCTCAGTTTCCTCATCTGTAAAATGAGCTGGAGAAGAAAATGGCAAGGCACTCGAGTGTCTTTGCCAAGAAAACCCCAAAAGGGGTCACAAACACTAGGACATGACTGAAGAATGACTAAACAATAAACAAAACAGTATGTATGTATTTTGTAGGCACATAGTTGTTTAAATGTTGTATCTTCTTTTGGAACACAAGCTTCTTGTGAGCAGGGATAAGGTTTTCACCTTTCTTTGTATCATAGTAAACACTTAAGGAACTCTTGCTGACTAACTTAGCGGGTTTCTCCTTGCAGCAAACTGACCATCTCAGGGAAAAGCAGTCAGTCAATAAATATTTATTAAGTGGCTACTATGTACCAGGCACTGTGCTAAGTACTGGGGATACAAAGAAAAGCAAAAGACAGTCCCAGCTCTCAAGGTGCTCGAGGTCTGATGGAGGAGACAGCTTGTAAACAACTGTGTACAAACAAGATACATAAGGATAATCAACAGAGAGAAGGCACTAGCATTAATGGAAACTGTGAAAGCCTTCTTTTAGAAGGGGGAATTTTAGGTGGGACTTGGAAGGAGTTGGGAAGGCAGAGATGAGAAGGGAGCATTCTGAGCAAGAAGAACAGCCAGAAAAGATGCCAGGACCCAAGAAATGGAGTGGCTTGTTTGAGGAGCAGCAAAGGGGATAATATTGAATCACAGAGTGTTTAAGGGGATGTTGAGTGTCAGAGGATTTTATGTTTGATCTCAGAGGAAATAGGGAGTCACTAAAATTTTTTGACTGGGGAGGGTGATGAAGGAGGTGATGGCAATGACACAGTCACATCCATACTTCAGGGAATTATTTTGACAAATGAGTGAAGAATTGAGTGGAATGGGGAGAGACTTGTGGCAGGGAGGCCAACATTAGACTATTATGATAGTCTCCCAGTATTCTCCACTACCCAGGAAACAATGACCCAAAGTTGAAAAAAAAAAGTTTGTAGGGGGCAGCTAGTATGGGATCTGCCAATATGATATTCCAAAGCTTTTCCTTGAGCAAAAGTCTTAAATATTTCCTGACTGGCATTGGAAATGAAAACATCTAAGCAAAACCAAGAGCTAAATGATCTCCAAGTAGGATTGAGGTCTCCATCTTTAATTAAAAATAGAAAGATTCAAAGAATGGGAGAAACCATAAAAACCATATTTTTGTCTGCTTCTCATTTATGAAGATGTTAGAATCATGCTATTTGCCACCTCTGACCTCTGCCAATGGTCATTCCCTGTCAAAGGTAACCAGACACAAATGAGAAAAGGGAGGGAAGGTTCTGGATTGCCTGCTAATTTGGTAACATTATTCTCAGTGCTAGTGGAGGCCAAATTTCACCATTTGGGGGTTAACAAAGAATTTAGGGTCAACTTTGAGGATAGCCCTGTGTATGTGTGTGTGTGTGTGTGTGTGTGTGTTGTGTGTGTGTGTGTGTGTGTGCGTGCGTGCGCGCATGCGCGCATATGTATGTTTCTGAACTTGCAAATCTTAGCTTGGTTACTGGGTCTGCAGTTGGCCAAAGAAAGGAGATTCATTCTGAAAGGTTTCCTAAGTCTTACCTCTTATGTAGTCTAATTGGTTACATCAGTAAATTGCTCTGAAACATTTTAAAGGATATAGCCGGGGAATGGAGTACTGGCTTTATGGTGAGTAAGGTGTGAGCCCATTAAACTCTCACTACATATGAATGTTTTTAATTCCACTTGCCAGTTAACTAGAATTTAACTTGAGGCAAGTAAAATTAGTAGTTTCTTTTAGCAAAAGATTATGGTACCTGCTGTAAAACTAGTCACCTCACCCCCCAAAAAAGCCAGAGTAAAACAAAACAAAAGCGTGCTCTGTACTTGGTCATTAACATTACTCCCCTCCCCTTTCCTCCTTTGATAGAAAGAGTGAATTCTGGAATGGGAATACAGTAAATAGAAGATTTGAAAGAGCTGCCAGCCCATTCTAGAAAATGGTCAACGGTAGAAGAAAAGATACTGTAATGAGAGGGTGATGAAGCAGTTAGGTACAGTGTAGAAGGAATGCTAGATTTAGCGTGAGAAGACCTGGGTTCAAATCCCAGCTCTTTTTCACTAGGTGGCTCAGTGGATAGAGTACTGGGCTATCACAATATATGTATTTTTTTTTTTTAAATCTGAAACACTGGGCATAGGTGATGAACATTGAAAGAAATTAGACCTGAGTGATATGAGTGTGGCCTGGAATAGTCTGGGAAACCTTGCTGAAGAAGGTGGGAATTGAACAGGACCTTGAGTGATGGATAGAATTTGAATAAGATGGGAATGATGGTCCTATGACATGTTCCTCATCTATTAAGAAATCTGTAGCGATTACCTATTGCTTCCAGGATAAAATATAAAATCCTTAACCTAGCATTTAAAACCTTCCATAATATGGATCCCATCAACCTTTCTTACTTTTTTCATATATTTTATATGTTTATATACTTATTTTTATATATTTATCATATATTTATTTTATTATTATATATCTTATTATTATATAATATGTATTACACATTGAATATATATTTATTATTATATTTACATACATATAGCAGTATATATGTATACATACATACACATATATGTATATATAGATATACACACATACATATGTATCAGTCAAACATATGTGATATATATATAGCGCTCAATTTAGAGATCTGCTCTTAATACCCTACGCATAATGTGTATATTATGTGTACATACACATACACATTTCCCACCTCTGTACAAGTTGTTTGCCCTTTACTACCCATCTCCCCTCCACCTTATTCATGGAATGTTTCTGCCCTCATCTCTAACTCTGGTGTTGTTTAGGCGATTCAGTTGTATCTGATTCTTTGCGATCCTTTTTGAGGTTTTCTTGGCAAATACACTGGGGTGGTTTGCCATTTCCTTCTCCAGCTCATTTCTGAGATGAGGAAACTGAAGCAAGCAGGATTAAAAAGCTTGCCTACGGTCACAGAACTAGTAAGTGTCTGAGGCCAGATTTGAACTCACATCTTTCTGACTATAGGCCCAGCACTTTATTCATTCTGCCACCTAGTTTCTCTTTTAGAATCTCTAGCTTCCCTCAAAGCACAGATTAGGTGCCCTTCTACTTCTGGCCTTTCCCTAACCCCACCACCATCCCCAGGTTTTGGTATATCTTTGTATATACACTGTATTTCTTATTAATATATAATTATTCATATATTCATATTCATATACATATAATATTTCCCCCAGTTTAATGTAAACTCATGTCACATACTTGGGGCTTAATAAATGTTAATTGAATTTAAATCAATCTTATTCAACAGGGAAGAAAGAGCTTGAGAAAAGGGAGCATCTGAAAAACCTGAGGAGGGAAAGTAAGGTGTTTTCTATTCACAATCAGAAATGAGTTTTAATTGCAGGGTTCTTGTTAATACTGGAGATGAGAAATAATGCAGCTAGTGTCTTTCACTGATCACACTACTTCCCATTATAAACTAAACCTTGGTGAAATTTAGGAAGAGAAAAGCTATGGTTTGAAGGGGACCTGGAGGGGCAGCCTAGATGGCACAGTGGATAGAGCACCAGCCCTGAAGTCAGGAGAACCTGAGTTCAAATAGAGCCTCAGACACATAACACTTACTAACTGCGTGGCTCTGGGCAAGTCACTTAACCCCAATTGCCAAAAAAAGGTGGGGGAGGGGGACCTGGGAGTTTTCTATAGTGCAGAGCCAAATTCTTAAATATATGAAACTCTCTTTTCTATTTTATCATTATCTGCACTATATGTCCCCGTGTCCTCTGAACAAATGCTTTTCAGTAGGAGGCCTTGTGATTTAGGTAGAAGAATATTCACTGAATCGGAAGTGAGAAGAATGGGTTGAATCCTGGCTGCCACCTACTGCCTGCATGATCTTGGGTGGGAGAGACCCTTCCTCATTCTGGGCCTCACTTTCCTCCCCTATAAGACTAAATCACCTCTTAGGACCCTTCCAACTCTAAATCCTAGGTAGGGTCCAATAAGTCTGACATAGGTGGAGAACTGGGTTCTCATCTTTGTTTTCACCCAGGCAACCAATGGAGATTTCATCTGTGTGATGACAACTTCTGTAAAGTAATGAATCTCTTCCACTTTTCTTCCACCAGGATCCATCTCATGTTTTTAAGATAAGACATGGAAGAAATGCAAAAGAAAAAGAACTTACCAGTCTTCCTAATTGACTGATTTTGTTGTTGCTTTTTTTCTCCAAAGACAACTGGACAGGAGTGACAAGGCTTGAAGCTTCAAAGAGGAGAATACCATCACAGATGCCTTATACACTTAGCCTTATCCATTCATGCCCATTTCCAAACACAGAGCTTGGAGAAGCCAATTTCTTTCCTACCTTGGAGAAAGGGGCTCAACCAAGGTTTTGGCTGCAAATCCTCCTTTCTGGTGCTGCTGTTTTCCTTTTTCTTTCAGAGGGCAGCACTGGGAGTATCGTCAATTAATGGGTCAGAAGGCATGGATTTTGGATTTTTTAACATTACTCAGAATTGAAGGGATTTATTGAATTTTTGGTTTTGTTTGTTTGCTTAGTGTGTTTATTGAGTCTGGTATCAAAAGTACAGGAGTAAGAGGGATCAAACATTTCCAAAGAAAATGACAAACATGAATCAGAGTTACCAGCCTTGAAACTTTGGACCTAAATAACCCCAAGCAACGTCAATCAAGATCTGAAATCTCCCACCCAGGGAGCAGAGATAGGGAGCTCAGTGGTAAGCTCCAGCTGTTACAAGAACTGCTTGATACCTTTAACGAAAGATTTTCTGTTGTATCTAAAGGGCAGGAGCCGAAGTGACCTTAGCTAATGTTAGTTCTATGCAAAGCATCTCACTAGGCCAGAACATAATGGTCATTGCAGAGACGTCAGAGAGTTTCTAGAGATAAAATCGGCAAGTAGGGCTGTACTTAACCAGAGATTTGCAGGCTGAGTTTTATTCCCAGAGCATGAATCACACAAATAAAAGCTACTTTAAAAAGGCTACAACACAGCTATGTCACCCCAGAATTGTGTGCCTTGGCATGCGTTTTATTTCCATGATTCCTATACTCTACTCATCTCTTTGAGGTTAAGGGATAGACAGCTCAGATCGAGCCCAGGATGCATGCAGCAAGACAGAAGATAGAGTGCAACCAATGGAATATAGTGCGACTTTGCCAAGTAACAATCAACACATCAGTGGACAGAAAGCTGGCCAGCAAGACCTGGATTCAAATCACACTTCTGACACATAATGGCAGTGTGATCCTGGGCAAACCACTTAACTTCTCACTGCCCCCAGTAAACTCTTTAAGACTCTTAAGTTGAGAAGGTGCTGACCGGCACTGGGAGAGAGAATTTGCAGTCCCCGTCCCTAATCAGTCATCATAATAATCCAATGCAACAAACACTTAAACTGTTCTGGACACTGGGGATCTAAAAACACAAACAAATCTGTCTTTGTCCTCAAGAAAACTATATTCTACTGGTGGGAATGCTATGGACAGAGATTAGAAAATGGAAAAGAGACACAAAGTTATTTCCCGGAGGGGACAAATTTGAGAACTCACATTTCTGTAGGACTTTGTAGTTTACAGATTGCTTTCCTTACAACCCTGTGAGGCAGACAGTGCAAGCGTGATTATACAGATGTGGCAGCTGGGGGACCAGGTGGTTAAGTGAGAAAATTATGTTAAGGTCTTTGGGAGCTTCAAAGCACTGTGAAAATGTCAATAATGATGATGAGAAACATCCTCATTACTACTGGAGAGGTAGCCTGACGTGATGGATAGAGTACTGGGCTTACAGTCTGGAGGATCTGTGTTCAGATTCCCCCTTCCAGTATTTGCGAGCTGTGTTACCATGGGAAAGTCACAACCTCACTGTTTGAGTTTCCTCTGTTACACCTGTAGTAACTACCTTCCTGGGTTGTTGCAAAGAGGATCAAATAATACCGATAATGAATGTAGCACTTTGTAATCTACAAAACACTATATGAATGTCAATTTAGTCCATCAGCCCCCAGTGCCAGGTGCTATGCTAAGTGCTGGGGAGACAAAGAAAGGCAAAAAGACAGTCTTTGCTATCATGGAGCTCACAGGCTAGCGAGCATGTTCAGAGACTACTGACCTCCCAGGCTTCCTTCACTCTCACCTAAAATCCCATCTTCTATAAGAAGGCTTTCTCAAACCCTCTTAATTCCAGTGTGTTCCCTCTGTTAATTATTTCCTCTTTATCCTGTATATAACTTGAATTATATATATTTGTTTGCATGTTGTCCCTCCCATTAGACTGTAAGCTTCTTGAGGGCAGGAAATGTCTTTTGCCTTTGTTTGTATCCCCAGCGTTAGTGCCGTGGCTGGCACAAAGTAGGCACTTAATAAATATTGATTGATTGTTGCTGTTTTTGTTCTTCCTCTTCTTGTTCTTTTTCTCCTCCTTTTTCCTCCTCTTCTTTCTCTTCTCTCTCCTCTTCTTCCTCTTTCTTCTCTTTTTTTTTCTTTTTCTTTCTCCTCCAATTGATGTAGGTTCCTATTTAGGTCTTCTGAATGTAAGATCAATGCTCTCTCCACCATCTCCCATGATGCAGTATATTAGGGAGCAAAAAATTAATTTCAGTTTGCAACATGACATGATAGTTTCTTTTCGCAGTATGTCATGTGCCTGCATGTTATACTCCATTGCTCTCCTTACAGAAAATGTGTTTTTAGACTTATTTATGTATAAAATCAGTTATAGTAACACTTTATTTCTCCAGTATAATACAACTCAATCTTGTACTGTGAAGGAGGTTTGTAGGGAATATATATTTATACACATAAATATATATTCATATATACATACATATTCATATATACATACGTATATTTATTCTAGCTCTAAATTCAATCCTCTTAGGATCAAGTGTAGCTCAGGGTGTGTTTACTATGTGCTCAGAACTGTACTAGATTCAGTGACATATTGAGAAGAAGTAAACAGGCAAGGTTCAGAGCTTTGGGAAGCTACTGGTCTGGTTGAAGAGGTACAACTAACGTGTATAAACTAGTATAAAGCAGCACGTAATCAAGTGCTGGATTGTGTGCTGCAGACCACAAGTGCTGTGGAAGCTAGGAGAAGGAAGGAGTCAGCGAAGGTCAGAGCAGTCCAAGTCTTTCCAGAAGTGGTGGGACTTGAGTTGGTCTTTGATTCAGATAATCAGTAGGTGAGAGAGAGTACCTATGGGTGGGGGCAAAGGAGCTCCACAGAAATCCTGGTAAGTGACAAAGGCCGACCTAGAATCCAGCTCTGCTGATCCTTGTTAATTGACCTATCCATAGCAGGCTTGGCTCCCCAGGTGGTCAGTCTAAGTTCTAGTGCAGCCTCTCCTGGTCATTGATTTGAGCTCCCTGGAAGGGTCTGGTTAGTTTCTTTCATTTCACCACCCACATGGCATTCTTATACAATGAAAATAAAAGCCAGGGAAAGGGGGAGGTATCATGCCTCTACCACAGGACATTGACTCTTTCCACAGTCTGGCTTCATAATAGTCATGAGCATGTTACCTATTGTAAGATAAGGTGGGGAGGGAATCTATCTGGACACTTTCTTATCAGCTGATGCCTCCCCATTGGTCACACACCCAAGTGTTCTGCCCACTTCCTCTCATTGTACTGTATTAGAAAGGGGACAAGAACTAATTTTAGTTGGCAAAGAAGAGGTAAATCCCCAGGGAAGCTCTACTCTGGGCAACTCATTGAACGTCTTAAGGTTATTTATTTTCTGATCTGGAGACATCAAAAGGCACCAACACCACTAATGAATGGATTTTGTGGCATGGGGGGAGTTGGGGGATTTCTCCCCCTCCTTCTAAACGTTCTGTCTCCTATCAAACTTTTTCCCCCAAAAGTTGGTGGGGGAGGAGGACGGGAAGGTCCCCTGTAAAGTTTATGACTGCAGTGTCAAAAGTCTTCCATCCAAATCCCAGTAAATATTCTAATGAAGTCTGGAAACAAAGCCGTCTGTAATTGCTTGGGGCAGAGAATTAAGATAGCCTGTTTCCAGTTAGTCAGTCATTAGAGAGATCTAACATCCATGGTAAATAGTTTCCTGTTCTGAGGGCTTTAAACTGAATTTTAGGAAGCCCAGCTTCCTGAAGGGTTTATTTGGAAACAACAATGTGCCAACTGGTCCCAGCTTTTCAGATGACCACTGGTCCCTCCTGAGGTGCATTTGAGCTCAGCAGTAGCAGCCTTCATTTCCAGGGTCCTGGGTTTAGCATCTCGTGGCAGGAATTACCAAGCTTTGATAATGGCAGGGAAGGAGCCCCAGCAAGTCTCTGCTGGGGGCATGGCTGAGGTCTGGAGTTTTCTTTGGTTTTAAGTACATTGAGGTTGAGTGACTCACAGAATTAAATCTAAAACAACAAGAATGTGCTCTGGTTGGAGCCAAATGGGTGGTTAGGTTTGGGGCCAGTACGCTTGTGAGAAACTGGCATCGAAGTCTCCTTGGTATCTAAGGGATGGATATCTGGCACAGTATGGGGGGGGGAGTAGGGGCAGTTCAGGCCGTTCTTCTAAGCTATCTGATGAATAGCACATTAGAATGTAATTTTCCCACACAAGGAAGTCACTGAGACTTTAATTAGAACATAGATGAAAGTAAAGGTTGTCCCAAAAGTCTTAGTGCAATTTACTGATCTTCAGAGCTTAAAACTGAGCTAAGCCTTTTGAGGCATGATGCACTCATTATCAGGTTTGCTCACTTTTTTTTCTTTTTTAAAGAAGTGGGTAGGTGTTTTTAATGTGTAAATGTGGCAGATGGACTGCTTGTTGATTAAGAACGGAAAGGGATGTTGATTATCTACTCCAGTTCCCTCAATCTACAAAAGAGAATTTTGAGAACTAGGGAGAAGTGGCTTGCCTAAAGATGAAAACATAGTGAGAGATGTACGATTCGAACCCAAGCCCCCTGAGACCAGATGACTTTTTCTCCTGTATGTAAATAACAGTACTGAGTTGCTCTGTATGACTGAGTCTCAGCCCATGAGGATCTTAGCTGGTTCAGGCAGGCACTGGGTTGACTTCAGGAATTCAGACCTAAGGATGAGAAATGAATACTGGGCATATGCCATCTTCATTCTCCATCATTAGCCGCATGGCCCATGCCTAGGGAGAGAAAGCTAACCCTCTCCCTCTTAAGAACCCTCTCATGAACAGAATAGGGTTGTTTATTTGTTTTTTTTTCCAAGAAAGTTATAAATGCACAATTCTTCCCTTCTCTAGACCAGCCTCAATTTGCCATCTTTTTGCATAGGATATTATTTTGCAGGTCTGTGTTGATTTTCTTATATAGTTCTTTCTAGTCAAAGGAAAAGGAAGTACTTTCTGGGAAGGAAGAAGAAACTTGGAATGGCCCTCTCTGTCTCTTTAAGCAACACATGCCTACCCCAAGAAACCTATGTACCATAGCTAGAGTCTTTGCTTTTTACTGATGGATTGTT